GGAGGTTCTTCGTCCTCTTAGCTATTTCTTCGACGTTCTTGAAGGCGTTCCAAGCCGCTCTCTTCCTCCTGTGCAGCTCGGGTGCCAGGTCATTTGTCACGTTGACTTCTCGACCTAGGTACACATAGCTGTTGCATTCGGAGATGGTCGTTCCATTGAGAGCGAAATTTAAGTTTCTCATTTAAGTTTCTCATTTAAGTTTCTCAGGAGTTCAAGATTCCGCTCTGTCTAACGTTCATTGATTTAAGGAAGGCCTTTGATTCTGTTGAGACTGGAGCAGTCATCGAAGCCCTAGCCAAACAGGGTATTCAAACTCAATACATCAGAATCTTCTGTGAGCTGTATTAAGGATTCACCACCAGGATCCACCATTCTATAAGGAAGTGGTCATCGAGGTCATGAGAGGGGTGAATGCGGCCGCGTGCTTCCGAGAGCAGGGTTTTATTGTCTCTGGGTCTTGGCCGTTGATGGGATTACATGGCGCGGGGGCAGTTGGTGGGTGTAACGCCTGGAAGATGGAGGATCTGGGTGGAGGAGGCCCGAGTCCCAATCTGAGCAGACTTGGAGATCTACGCCCCGGGTCCCTCACACCTGGATTCCTCTGCCGGTTCCTTCATGCGTGAGGCTCATCCGAATGTGTGGAGAGGGGTTTTAAGCATGGCTGTGGCTGGAACCAGAGGTCTTCAGCTGCCCAGGCTCTGCTCGAGGTGGGGAGGGAAACTCAGCCCACCCTCCTCCAAGGGGCCCCCGGTGAGGACAGCCAGGCGTGGAGGCAGGAGACTCTGTGCTGTTCTCTTCCAGGAGAAGGGGTTTATATAGTCTCTGGGTCTTGGCCGTTGATGGGATTACATGGTGCTGGGGGCAGTTGGTGGGTGTAATGCCTAGAAGATGGGGGATCTGGGTGGAGGAGGCCCCAGTTCCAATCCGAGCAGGCTGCTCCGCTCTGCATTCAAGCTCAGGAATTACTCCTGGAGGTGCTCGGGGGACCACATGGGATGCTAGGGATAGAACCTGGGTCATCTTGGGTCAGTCTCATGCAGATGCCCTACCCCCTGTTACGTCCCTCTGGCCCTGAGTTTGTTTCTAATATCAAAATTCCCCTTCCCCTGTTTTCCCTGTCTAGAACTCTGCTTTCAGATTTCTGCATAACTGGGCTTTGTAAATGTCACTATGTCACTTCAGAGAAATCTTTGAACACCCAGTGTAAAGCAGCACATCACTTGCAGTCAGCCTTTCATGTTACCTATTTCCTTTATCCTATATTTTATTTTGTTTTGTTTCATTATTGGATCACATCAGCAGTGTTTGATGTCTGGTTTCATTCTTGCTTCAGGAACTGGTGCGAGGATCAGACCCATTCCTCTCCATGCAGAGCTTGTGCTCATCCCTTTGAGCTATTTCTCATGCCCTTCTTTTCACTTCTTTTATGTTTGTATGTTTTGGGTCACACCAGTTATGCTCAGGGGTTTCTCCTGGCTCTGCCCTCAGGAATTATTTCATGGCTGCTCCAAGGAACATATGGGATCATAAGGGATGTGGATTGAACCCAGGTTGACTGCATGCAAAGCAAGTGCCCTACCCACTGTACTCCCTCCCTATCCCCTCTTTTTACTTTTTTTTTGGGGGGGGTCACACCCGGCAATGCACAGGGGTTACTCCTGGCTCTGCACTCAGGAATTGCTCCTGGAGGTGCTTGGGGGACCATATGGGATGCTGAGAATTGAACCTGGGTCGGCCGCATGAAGGCAAACATCCTACCGCTGTACATCCCATTGCTCAAGCCCCTGTTCTTGAAATTAGTACCACAAAACTAATTCACATTCAACTCTGTGTTAAGAAGTTAGATTTACTTTGATTTTTAGTTTTCAATTTTAATTTTGGCATTTTTCATTTATTTATATTGTAGCACTGCACTGTAGCACTGTCTTCCAGTTGTTCATCGATTTGCTCAAGTGGGCCCAGTAACGTCTCCATTGTGAAACTTGTTACTGTGTTTGGCATATCGAATACATCATGGGGAGTTTGCCAGGCTTTTCCGTGGGCGAGATACTCTCAATAGCTTGCTGGGCTCTCCAAGAGGGGCGGAGAAATATTTTATATTGTAATAGCTATAAATACTTTGTAAGTATATAATTGTACAGTTTTGGGGATGCTTATAAGCAGTCCTAAGGAATTCAATAAATTGTGTTTTAGAATGGCTTCAGATATTTTGTTGTTTTTATTGTTGTGATTGTTTAGAGAGCCACACATAGGCTTACTTCTGGCTCTGTACTCAGAAATCACCTCTAAAGTTGGCTAAGGACCCAGATTGGGTAGGTGCTGTCTCCCCGCCTTCTCCAGATGGAATCCTGGTGACCATGAGCTTCTACAAGCATGGCTCTGGCACGCGGGTACCATGACATTTTTTCCAAACCACGCGACCGCTTATGCGGCCATGTGACATTTCCTTTATATGCAAAGTGATCAATGGAAAGTAAATCATCCAGCATTTCTCCCTGAAAATCAGGCTTGAATGGTGGTGGGAAAAATCTGAGCAAAAGATAATGCCCAAATGAAATGCATCTGGACTGTGTATTTAACTATGATGCTATGCCACCCTGGGAGGGGAAGGGTGTCTGTCCCTCCACCTGTCCCCCTCTATGGCGGCGACATGGTGTCCTGCATTTTTTAGAGCCTAATGAACAGCCAGGTATGTGACTGCATTGACGAGGCACGTGGGGCTTCATGGGATGGGGGGTGGAGTCGGCCCTGCTCCTCGCCATGACAATGCTCTGGGTTGCCACCCTCAAATGCCTCCTCCGGCTTCTGACCGACAATGATCCCAGAGGGACACATACTAATCTCAGAACCCAGGGGCTTCTGGCAGTAATCCCTCTAGGTTTGTTACTAAAATATTAAAATTCCAAATTCGCGTGGCTGCTATTGTGGCCACACAACATCATATGCTTTTCATAATCAACATTAGAAAACAAATTTTCTAATGATCTCTTTGTGGCAGGTCTGAATGGTGTGGAAAATTCCAAATAACAGTGGTGGGTCTTTTGTCATAATATTGAATGTGATCAACAGAGGGAGGGAGGGAGGGAGGGAGGGAGGGAGGGAGAGAGAGAGAGAGAGAGAGAGAGAGAGAGAGAGAGTGGGAAATCTGCCACACAGGTGGGAGGTGGGTGGGAGGGTTGGGTATGGTGGTGGAAAATGTGCACTGGTGAAGGGACAGGTGTTTGATCATTGTATGACCGACTGAGACTTGAACTGAAAGGTTTTGTTACTGTTCTCATGGTGATTCAACAAATAAATAAAAAATATATATATAAAAAAAAAAGTTGGCTAGGGACCAAATGGGTCTCAGGGATTACATATGGATCAGCTGTATGCAAGGCAAACATTCTACCTCTTCTGTCCTATGTATCCAGCCCCAATTTCAGATATTTGGCATAGGATTACCTGTCCAACCTTTCATTTCTTCATCATTTAGTGTTTATATTTGTGTTGTGTTTTTTCTTTTTCTTTTTCTTTTTTTTTTTTACTTTTTGGGTCACACTCAGCGATGCACAGGAGTTACTCCTGGTTCATGCACTCAGGAATTACTCCTGGAGGTCCTTGGGGGAACATATGGGTTGCTGGGAATTGAACCTAGGTTGGCTGCGTGCAAGACAAACGCCCTCCCCGCTGTGCTGTTGCTCCAGCCACTTTTCTGGTTTTGGAAACACACGTGGTGGTGCTCAGGAATTCGTCTCCTATCCGGCTTGGTGCCCTAGGATTGCTCCTGGTGGTGTTAGAAGTCCTTGTAGTGCTAGGCATCAGGCTCTGTTCTCCTGCATGCAAACCATGCACGCTCGCCATTTCAGCTGTCTTCCTGGCTCCATAGTTTTCTGTATTTTGTTTAAAATGTTTTACACACACACTATTTTATTTATTTTTATGTGCTACAACTGGCAGTGCTTGGGGTCTGCTCCTGGCTTGGTGCTTGGGATTGCTCCCTAGACTGCTCAAGGGACTAGGTGGTGCCAGGGATCTAACCAGGGCCTCCCACTTGCAAACTACATGCTGTAGCCCTTTGAGCTGTGTCCTGGGCCTGAACAAATATTATTGATGACCCATAAAACGTTAGACAGGGACTGAGAGGTAGTACAGCAGGTAGGACTCCTGTCTTGAATATGCCCAACCTGTATTCTATCTGGATACCCCATATGTCTCTGAGCATTGGCAAGAAGGATCCCTGAGCACAGATCGAAGAGGAAGTTCTGAGCACAGAGCCAGGAGTAAGCTCTGAATACAGCCATGTGTGACCCCAAAACAAAAAAATAAAAGATGGTATGAGACATTAATACTGAGTCAAAACATTCCTTTTTCAACTATCTTTGTTACCCTGTCACATAATAAAGATGTGATTAATACTTTAAAAACATTTGTTTAGATTATGGAGATTCAGATTATAAATTAGGGGAATTTTAAGTAAGAGTACGGGTGACTCCTAGGAAAAAAAGAAATTCTGGGGCCTGAGCCAATGCAGAGTGGGTGGGGTGCTTGCCTTGCATGTACTTGAACTGTGTTTGAGCCCCAGCACCACAGGTGGTCCCCTGGACCCTGCTGGACTGCTTCACAAGTGGGGAGCCAGGAGTAAGCCCTGGCCCAAGACAACAACAACAACAACAACAACAGCAACAAAATAGAAGTCCATCTGAAACATCAATAGGATGTTTAAATATAGGAGTAATTTAGAACATTGTTACTCTAGTTTATTAGGTAAAGGTAAAGGCCCTCCCGTTGATCGTCGATTTGCTCGAGCGGGCCCAGTAACGTCTCCATTGGAGACTTTGTTGTTACTGTGTCTGGCATATCGAATACTCTCGGTAGCTTGCCGGGCTCTCCGAGAGGGGCGGAGGAATCGAACTCGGGTCGGCCATGTTGGCTGCGTGCAAGGCAGACACCCTACCCGCTGTGCTACTATTTTTTTAAATGTAACATTACACTCAAATATTTTGATTTATTTTTGTCAGGTTTCCATGGATCTCAATAGTGCCAGCAGTGTTGTTCTTCAGGTCTTAACACAGGCCACCAGTCAAGATACCACCGTGCTAAAGCCAGCTGAGGAGCAGTTGAAACAATGGGAAACACAGCCAGGTTTCTATTCAGTGTTGCTGGTAAGTGGATCTGAAATGATTTACTAGTGCTAATTAATTGAGATATTATTTACTTTAGTTTTTTTTCACAGCCTCCTTGTATTGGAGGTTTGCTTTATGAAACTGTTCTGAGTATTGACGTGGTCTTTATGTATTCAGGGCCTGACTTTGAGGGTACTTAGGAAATGTTTGTTGATATATAAATAACAGGGCAACATATTGGTAGTATCTGCTCAGATGGAAATACTGGTTATTTATTTTATATGCTTTCAAGTTTTGGCTTTTGGTCCATACTTTGGACCAGAAGTGCTCAGGCTTTACTTTGGGCTCTGGGCTCATAGATCGTTCCTGGTGGGGATTGGGGAATAATCTGAATTGCTGGTGATGACAAGCTTCTTGCTGTACTGCCAGGCCCACATTTTTGTTGTTGTTTTATTTTATTTATTTTTGCTTTTTGGGTCACACCTGGCAATGCACAGGAGTTACTCCTGGCTCATGCACTCAGGAATTACTCTTGGTGGTGCTCAGGGGACCATATGGGATGTTGGGAATCGAACCCGGGTCGGCTGTGTACAAGGCAAACACCCTACCTGCTGTTCTATCGCTCCAGCCCTGTTTTTTTTTTTATTAAAGCTGCCATTTTTTTAACCATACTTTGTAAAATAAAAAAATATTGGCAGTTGCCATATATATATATGTTAAATTTAAGAAAATACCAATTATGACTGTGAGGGAAATTGAATATCTCAAGTTACACTTGATATCCTGACTATAAGATGAAAACTTGCTCCTTTATTCAGTGACAGTAGTCAAACTTTGTTTTTTTGTGGTCCCAGAACGATCAACCCTAGAGCCTGCTATGTATGAACCATCAACCCTAGAGCCTGCTATGTACGAGGGATGGTGAGTTACATCCCTGGCCACCCAAAATCGATTTTTTTCTTTCATTTTTTGGTTTAGAGAGAATCATACTTGGTGGTGCTCAGGAGCTCCTGACTTGGTGCTTAGCTGCAGTTTTCAGGAGACAGTGTTGTGTTGGGGATTAAGCCTGGGCCAAAATACTGATTTAAAAATTTTCTTTTTTTTTTTTTGCTGGGGGGTGGGGGCGTCTACTCCTGTTGTGATCAGAGCTTATTTCTGGAGATTAAATAGGGTAATATGCATGGAAGGCAAGCTCCTTACTCGCTATACTGTCTCTCTTGCCACCAAAACATTGATTTTTTTTTGTTTTCAAAGATACTAAAGGAAATACTTGCAGATTTTTTGGTGGTATGGGGCCTCAAACCTAGGACCTCAAACATACAAGGCTGGATACACACACTTGACCTCTGAACCTTATTCCTAATCCCCAAGGCCTGTTCTTTAGGTAATTCCAGCATCTTGTTTATAAATTTTTGGCCCAATAAAAGTGTTAAGAAAAATTTCTGGGCTGGAGCTATAGCACAGCAGGTAGGGCGTTTGCCTTGCATGTGGCCAACCCGGGTTCGATTCCCAGCATCCCATATAGTCCCCTGAGCATCGCCGGGAGTAATTCCTGAGTGCAGAGCCAGGAGTAACCCCTGTGCATTGTTGGGTGTGACCCAAAAAGCAAAAAAAAAAAAAAATTTCTTCGTCAGTCTTGTAATTTTTTTAGACCATTATATTAAATACTTGGAATTTCTTATTTTAGTAACTAGGAGTGATAGCACAGCGGTAGGGCATTTGCCTTACAAGCGGCCAACATGGCTGACCTAAGTTCGATTCCTCTACCCCTCTCGGAGAGCCCGGCAAGCTACCGAGAGTATCTCGCCTGCACGGCAGAGCCTGGCAAGCTACCCGTGATGTATTCAATATAAATCATATTTGATGTGCCAAACACAGTAACAAGAAGTCTCATGATGGAGACGTTACTGGGCCCGCCCGAGCAAATTGATGAACAACGGGAGGACCGTGACTGTGATAATATAGTAATATAGATAATAATCAATATTAGTAACTAAATTACTAGTTACTATAATTAACAGTAATTAAGGGCTGGAGCGATAGCACGATAAAACAGCGGGTAGGGCGTTTGCCAAAAACAGTAGCAAGTCTCACAATGGAGATATTACTGTTGCCCGCTCGAGCAAATTGATGAACAATGGGAAGACAGTGCTATAATCAATATTAAAAAATAGCCAGGAGACTTGCTCACCTGTTCATTTTTTTTAATTCCCTCCAAATAACATTTCTTTTCAATAATAATTATTTGTTATATTTTTGGGCCACATCTTGCATTCTCAGAACTTACTCCTAGGTCTGAGTTCAGAGAGTACTCCTGGTGAGGCTCTGGTGACCAAAGAGATACCAGTGATTAAACCAGGGTCAGCAACATGCAAGGCCCTACCTATGTACTGTTACCCTGGCCTGGAATAGATTATTTTTATAATGTATTTAAAAACCCAAGTTTAATTCTTCCTTTCTTCCTATACTTTTTGTTGGTGGTGCATTTGTTCATTTTCCCCTTGGCTGTTTAGTCTAGTCTTCGGATTGCTAGATTTGTGTGACTGATCTCAAGCTTATGCTCTACTACTGTAGTTTCTGTTTAGATAGATCCCTGCAGACTGACTTTTCTTGGTGCCCTTCGCATAGCTGAGTCAGATCTGCTGCAACCCGTCTATTTGTGCAGTAGTCTCAGGTTTGCTCTGCCGACATTTATAAAGTTTCTGTCTAGGCTCTGTGTTAGAGTAAAGGCAAAGACATTACACAGTCTAGCATGGAGAGGCTAAACCTATAAAGTATCAGTAACAGATGTGATTATTGTGGTGGGCTGTCTTGAAATAAGATATTGTACAACTTCTGTAATTTTTTGGTAAGCTCATGATTTTCTTATATGGGATTATGATACACTGCTGTTTTTACATTTTAATGTACGACTCTATTTGCATTGTAATGAACACAACTTCTGCACCTTATTTTTGAGATTCCGTTATTTGGGTGGGGGAGGCAACACCCAGCTGTGCTCAGGGCTGACTCTGCTCAGGGCACTATATGTGGTATTGGGAGGATTGAAATGGGGTTGACTGTATGTATACTATCTCTCCAGTCTCTGGAATCGGGATTTTCACACACAAGATAATTTTGTGTTGTTGTTTATTTGTTTTTTGGATTTCACCCAGCAGTGCTCAGGACTTACTCCTGGCTCTTCCAAGGAATCACTCCTGGAGGGATTTGGGGGACGGTATGGGGTGCTGGGAATCGAACCTGAATTGGCTGCATACATGGCAGATGTCCTTCCCACTGAACTACCTCTCTGATTGCAGTAATTTTTGTTTGTTCAAAATTTTTTTGGTATTTTTGGGTCATGTCTCGTAGTGCTTGACCATGTGTTTGGGACATACTCCTGTCAGCTGCTCCGGGAACATGTGAGCAGTGGGGATTTAAATGGAATCTTCCTTGGGGCCGGAGCAATAGTACGGTGAGCAGGGCATTTGTCTTGCGCGTGGCCGACCTGGGTTCGATTCCTGGCATTCCACATGGTTCCCCGAGCACAGCCAGGAGCACAGCCAGGAGTGCAAAGCTAGGAGTAACCCCTGAGCATCACTGGGTGTGACCCAAAAAAGAAAGAAAAATAATTAAAAAGAAATGGAATCTTCCACATGCCAAGTCTGTGCTTAGCTCATAGAGCTGTTTCTCAGGCCCTATTGTAGGTATATTAATTATGCATGTAATTTTTTACATGGCCATTTGAATACTGCTTTTTATTTGCAGAATATTTTCACAAACCACTCTCTGGATATAAATGTCAGGTGGCTGGCTGTGCTGTATTTTAAGAATGGAATCGACCGTTACTGGAGAAGGGTAGCACCTCAGTAAGTTTCATTGCCCTTTTCCTCCTACTGTAATCATTGTCTAAATTCAAGAACCTGTAAGAATGTATCTACTTTGTTTTTATGTAAAATAATGTCAAGATGCTTACTTCAGCAGTACATTACTATTACTGGAACAATACAGAGAAGATTAGCATGGCTTCTGAATTAGGGTGCTTTGCAAATTCATGCAGCGTTTGACGTTATATAGAAGAAAAGTGCCTTAAAGACTGAAGAAGAAAAATCTTCTTTATTGGTAATTATAAATCAGTACCCATTTAGCCATTTTATTGCTTTGCTTTTGAGTTTATTTTTGTGAGGATGGGATTATGAATTTTCTGTTAGGCTTTTGCTTCTAAGGATCTTTAATTTTGTGGGCACGAAACAAATGCAGAGTGAATGAGTCATACCAAAAATTGTCTTTTTAAACAATGTTTCAAAAGAAGTATGAGGTTAGGACCTTGAATAAAAACATTGAGAAGGAAACGCCAGGTCATTTCTGAATCAGTTGATTGCTAATTTCTGGGTTTTTTTTTGCAATAACTGCTTCCTTCTGTGTTAGAATTGGGTAGTATTCATTTGTGTATATTGTCTCTTCAGATTTATAGTAACCTTTAAATACATTGTTCAGTAACTGATTTCTCTTTCAAAAATTACTTTTGAATAAAAAATTTTTAAGGCATCATGATTTATAGTAGAATTAATAGTCATCTGCTAGCCTTACAGTGATATAATACTGCACCTGCTATCAGAAGTGTCAGTGCCAGTTTACCTTCATCATATCCTTAGTCCCTTTTCACCTCATGTCTGTCTCATCTCCCTGTTTTCTCAGGTTTTATAAAGCACCTGAATAGTCACATATATCACAAACAAGTCAGTATGCACTTGACCCTGGAATTTGATAGAAAATAGTGAACTTTGCCAAAGAAGTAACATACTCCTTGATCTCCAGTAGATGGCACTGTAGGTCTTTAAAAATTTTTTTTTAATGGTTTAGTAATTCAAAATAGCAGTAAGATACTACCCTTGAATAAAACTGGAGGCAGCTGGAATCTTTTGAGACTGTACTTAAGATACTGTAGTATGGTGAAGTTCGTGCCCAATTCAGTCAGCTTAATCAATGGCTGAATAAATGGCAGTACTCCTACATTATTGAAAAAAAATAATTTTTAAATTGAATCACAGTTAGAAATACACAGAAATAGCAAGATACATAGTTAGGAAGATGTTCATCTTTTCCCTGGACTGCGTGGCCGCATTTGCAGCCACACATCACTTCGTAGGACACACCCTACCTATACTTCAAGAGTACTGCACCAAATTTGATGGGATTCATAGTAGGAGGCAACCAACCTTAGAGGGAAATATTGTATTATTTTGGTTCTGTTTGGGGCAGGGATTGGGGTTCTGGATGGAAACACCCAAAATATGGTGATGGGAGGTATAATGGTGGTGAAATGGTGTTTGAATATTATATGTAATCAAACATTATGAATTATTTTATAAAGTAAAAAAATAAAATTAAAAAATAAAATACTTGTCTTCAAAAAAATACTATAGTATGAAGCAAACTCTTATTTTTGAATTCTCAACTTTGGAAGAAATGTATTTAGTGATAAGAAATGGTGTATTATTAAGAATTACTGGAAACTGGTTACCATCATGTACTTTTTGTACTGTCGTGTTAAATTGAGTTTTTGATGTCTCCTAAAATTTATTGTATTTGGGGCTGGAGTGATAGTACAGCAGTTGGGGTGCTTACCTTTTCCACGACCAACTTGGATTTAATCCCCAGCACCCCATATGGTTTCCAAGCCCAACAGGAGTGATGTCTGAGCGCTGTCACGAGTTAGCCCTTAGCATCGCTGGGTGTGGCTGGCCCAAAAACAAAAATACCCCCAAAACCTATTGTGTATTATTTATTATATGAGGTATATTAAACTGATAATATTAAACTGAATATTTTCAGTTGGACTGGAGTGATACACAGCAGGTAGGGCGTTTGCCTTGCATACAGCTGACCTGGATTCGATTCCTCCGCTCCTCTCGGACAGCCCGGCAAACTATCGTGAGTATCCTGCCCGAAAGGCAGAGCCAGGCAAGCTCCCCGTGGCGTATTCTATATGCCAAAAACAGTAACAAGTCTCACAATGGAGATGTTACTGGTGCCCGCTTGAGCAAATTGATGAACAACGGGATGACAGTGACAGTGACAGACAGATGAGGATTATAGTTATCTACAACTCTTCACACAGGTAGATTATGATTAAATACTTCAGATTGTGCTTTTACGAATCATACACAAAATTGGAAGTTAGTTTAAATTTGAAAAGTTGAGGACTATATCATGTGGTATTGGGAGTTAAATTCCAAGCTTCCTCTTTTAGTCTATTACTGAGATAAGTGTAGAGGAGAGAAATGAACTCAGGGAGCAAGGATAATAAGAATGTACTTAGTAAGGGAACAGAAGAGCAAAGATTAGAAATTAAACTTAAATTTTAAGCACTTGAAAAGTTTGTATTAAGTAGTTCCACCTGTAACCAAGATTTTCACAGAATAGATTAAGCAGTATCATTATGCTCTACAGTGCAAAACTGGATTCTGATTTATTCCAGTTTCTGCTTGAGATATAATCTGAATTCATCTAACAATAACGTGCCTAAAATTAAAGGTGAACTATTATTGAAGAATTACTAAATTTTCTTTACTAAATTTTACTTTACTGAAGTTTTCTTCAGGTTACTGTGTATTTAATATATATATATATACACACATATATACACATATATGAATATATATATGTTAGCACTGTGGCACTGTCATCCCATTGCTTATCGATTTACTCGAGTGGGCACCAGTAACTTCTCCATTGTGAGACTTGTTACTGTTTTTGGCATATCGAACACGCCACGGGGAGCTTGTCAGGCTCTGCCATGTGGGTGGGATACTCTTGGTAGTTTGCTGGGCTCTCCGAGAGGGACAGAGGAATCAAACCTGGGTCGACCCTTTGCGGGGCAAACGCCCTATCTGCTGTGCTATCACTCCAGCACGTGTGTGTGTGTGTGTGTGTGTGTGTGTGTGTGTGTGTGTGTGTGTATAGTCTTTATTTTGCTAATTATTCTAATTAGAAAATCCTGTGGGCTGGAACGATAGCACAGTGGGTAGGGCGTTTGCCTTGCATGCAGCCAACATGGCCAACCCGAGTTCTATTCCTCCACCCCTCTCAGAGAGCCCAGCAAGCTACCGAGAGTATCTCGCCCGCACGGCAGAGCCTGGCAAGCTCCCCGTGACGTATTTGATATGCCAGACACAGTAACAACAAAGTCTCACGATGGAGACGTTACTGGGGCCGCTTGAGAAAATCGATGAACAACGGGAGGACAGTGACAGCTCATGAAAATCCTGTAAACTCTCTTGAACTTGGCTTTTAGGCATAGAGGAAAACCTAAATTTTAAGCATGAAGCAAAACATACAGAAGAAAGCATTATTTCAGCAGTTTGATGATAAACTATTAAAATTGGAAAGCATAGCCTAGTTACGGAAGGATTAGAGAATATTTCTAAAGGTAAAACATAGACTTGCATTGGATTTTGACTCGTTTCACCACCCCCAGTGGTGATGTATTCAGAGCTTGCTGGCATTTTTCAACATTCATATCAGCTTGGTTTAATCTGTCATTTCAGTTGCGCTGCTGTGTTTTATTGTGTGTTTTACTGATGAACAGTTACTGACTGGTCATATGAATATCTTTCTTAAAACGTCCTGCCATTTGTACACAAAAAATTATTTATATTGGAACCTAAGAGATAATACAGAAGTTAAAAGTGCTTGATTGCATTTGCCAACCCCTGTTTGATTCCCATCGCCCCCGAATAGTCCCTCTGGGCTGCCCAGAAACTAAAAAAAAATTGGGCATCTTACCGATTTGTGAAAATTCATATAAATCTTTTGCTAAATGGACATAGTGTGACTGTCTCTTATTTTGTGACTTGTATTTTTGCTTACTTTGTTCTGTTTTGTTTTGTTTTGGGGCCATGCCTAGCTGCGCTTGACTCGGTGCTCAGGGGTCACCTTTTCACTTCTTTAATGTTCTATATTGTACAGAGGTTCTTTTTTTTGTTTTTGTTTTTGTTTTAGTAAGATCTATTTTCTTTTATAATTCTTTTGGGACTGTTTTATAAAATTTTTATAACTCAAGTTATGTACATTCTCAGAATTTGGGGGAGTGTCGCTGGGGAGATGGCCCAAAGGGCTGGAATGCATGCTTTGCCTTCATCACACCCAAGCACTTTGTGGTCCCCCAAGCACTGTGTTCTTGGGACTCTCACCGAACTGCTTGGCCCAGGTGCCCATGAATCACCCGGAGGGGCACTTGGCCTCTTGAACCTTGTTTGGGAGACGCTCTCCTGACCCGCAAAACAAAAAAGGATAAAGGAAATGTTTATAGAGTTTTGTTAGAAGTTGCTTTGCTCGGCAAACTTCGGTATGTGGTGGGTCTGGAAATGGTGTCTCTAGGTGAGGCAGAAGCAGTGTATGGATGGATTTGCTCTTTTATCCTATTGGCCTGTTTGTCTTTGGTTTTTGTACTATAAAGCCTAACATTATTTCATTTAAAAATTTTAATTTGTCATTTTTCTAGCATTTTGAGATGAAAATATAGATGATCCTTTTTTTTTCATATAGGCATTTGAAATACTAAGACTTTTCATATAATCTTCAATTAAGTCTTCTTTTTTTTTTTTGGTGATTCTGGGCATGGAATTGAGGAATTCACATGTGCATAGCTAGTGCTCTGCTTAAGCCTTGGTCCCAGTAAGACTTTCTAATTGTCAACATTTACAGTGGTGTGGTACTGACCTGCTTTCATTATTAGGTCTCACTCTCTTACATAATGAATATGTCTTTTTACAGTGCTCTCTCAGAGGAGGAGAAATCTACATTGCGTGCAGGGCTAATCACCAACTTCAATGAACCAATTAACCAGGTTAGTGAGAAAATTAGTGCTAACTCTTTTCTTCTTTAGTTGCTACTTTTCCAGAATAAAAAGGTAAAAGGGTAAAGGCCCTCCCGTTGATCGTCGATTTGCTCGAGCGGGCCCAGTAACGTCTCCATTGGAGACTTTGTTGTTACTGTGTCTGGCATATCGAATACTCTCGGTAGCTTGCCGGGCTCTCCGAGAGGGGCGGAGGAATCAAACTCGGGTCGGCCATGTTGACCGCTTGTAAGGCAAATGCCCTACCCGCTGTGCTATCGCTCCAGCCCACTTTTCCAGAATAATTTCATCTATTTATTTGTTTTGGGATTACAATCAATCATGCTTAGGGATCACTCCTGGCTCTGTCAGGAATAATTGGGTTAACTGCTAAGTCTGTCCTCCCGTTGTTCATCGATTTGCTCGAGCGGGCCCAGTAACGTCTCCATCTTGAGACTTCTTGTTACTGTGTTTGGCATATGGAATACACCATGGGTAGCTTGCCAGGCTTTGCCGTGCGGGTGAGACACTCTCGGTAGCTTGCCAGTCTCCGAGAGGGTCGAAGGAATCGAACCTGGCTCGGCCGGGCTGGCTGCGTGCAAGGCAAATGCCCTACCGCTGTGCTATCGCTCCAGCCCAACTGCTAAGTATCCATAGTAATTATCTGTTCTTTTATGACTTGCTTTCTTACTTTCTTTTTAAATTCATTTTGGGGCCATATTGAAATATGCCTTGGACTTTCTCCTGGCTTCATTTAGTGATTATTCCACTTCTGGCAAGGTTTGGGGGACAGACCATATGTAGTGGTAGTGCCAGAGATGGAACTTGGTTAGCCAAGTACTGTACTTTCTCACCCATCTTTCCACCTCTTTAATGATGTGTATTAAGGGAATCACTCCTGGTGGTGCTCAGGGCACCATATGGGATGTTTAGGGATCAAACCTGTATCGGCTGGATACAACCAGGCTAGCCCTTGACCCGCTATATTATTTCTTTGGCCCTATTTTCATTTCTTGGCATTAAAAATAAAATCTTACTGAATAATGTTCAGTTGTTTTGCTTGTTTAATATAATTCTTTGTTGAGGTTTTGGGGATGCACAGGGCTTAACTCCTGGCTCTAAGTTCAGGGATCATTTCTGGTAGTACTTAGCACCATGTGGCATCCCAGGAATTAAGCCAGGGTTGGCCGCATGCAAGGTAAGTTCCTGCCACCCCATACGATCTCTGGCCTCTTTTTGTTAAATTTTATTCTTTTGAAATCCGGTGTTGTTAGGAATTGTAGTTAAACTACTGTTAATGATGAACTTTCTCATTTTTTTGAACCTTTTCAACTTTTGTGTCTGTTGAAAGCAAATATAAATATATTTGGAGTCACACGGTACAGAAGCTAACTTTAATGGTTCATATTGTCTTTATTTATTTGTTTGTTTGTTTTTTATAGGGATAGACTTTCCAAGCAAGGATCTCAGGGACCCAGACTTGGCAGTGTGCTGTCTAAGTCAGGAATTCTCTGAGACCACCAAGGCTCTCCTGAGAGACGCGAAGATTTAGTCCAGGGCCTTGTGCATACAGGGCATGTGCTCAACCCTTTTGAGCTATCACCCCATCCCTTCCCCAATTTATAAAAATCACAGAATGTTGGCCAAGAGATAGTACAGGGGTTAAGGTGCTTATCTTGCTCTCAGTTGATGCTGTTTGAATCTCGCATATGGTTTCTAGGTTATGTATTTGATGCTACCAGGAGTCCCACAGTGCTCAGGGCTTACTCCTTGCTCTGCACTCAGGGATCTCTTCTTGCAGGCTCCCGATCAAACCCAGGTTGACTGCATTAAGGGAAACACCCTACCTGCTGACTGTCACTCTGGTCCCTCACCACTCAGGTTTTTTGATTATTTCCTTCACCTATCAGATTTCCAATTCTTATTTCTTTGTGGAGGCTAGATAATAGGTTTTAATTAAATTTTTTTATAGTGAGATTTACAAAGAATAAAATGTTCTGTTAATGGATATGAAAATTCTTAAGTTTTTCTAAGTTGTTGTAGTTAAATTCTTTTTGTTTATAATTTTGGTCCTGGGGCCACACTCAAGTGCCGAAGTTCTGCTCCTGGTTCTGTGTCCAGTGATGCTCATGCATGCAAGATGTGCACTCGTTATGCTCTCTCTCAGTGCTGTTCTTGTTCATCCTTTTAACTTGACTATTAAAGCACAGTATCCATTGCAGCTTTATTTTAACCTTTTAAAATTATCCCGATTCTCTCCCTTTTAGTTCATTCCCTTAGGAAATAGCAGAGGATGGAGAGTAACAGTTGCTTTCATTAGAACAGTAGGTGGTTGTAGGGACTTGGATAAGCTGGGGGAGAGGGGCACACCAGTGCTTAAGTGTTCTGTCCACCAGCATTTGGGCAGTGAAAATCTATGCAAATAATACTTTTATACCTAGTAATAGAAGATTCATCTTTACTCTTAGGTGAAACTGAGGTCTTAGATTTAGATGCATCTGCTGATACTATACTATACTAGAAATTAAAGATAAATTATCTAAAGATGTTGATTATTTAAATTTACTAAGAATTTTTAACGTATAAAGAATCTGGGAAAATGAATGTACTGAGTGTAAAATGGTAGTGATAGTACAGCCAGTAGAGCACTTGCACTGTCTGCGATTGGCTTGGGCCACCAGTAGTGATGACTGAGCGCAGACTGAGGAGTAAGCTCTGAGCACAGCTGGGTGTAGCCCCAAAACAAAACAAAGGAAATGGATGAGAAATAGTTGTTTCCCCAGATGAAAAATATTTAGTAAGATAAGTGGCTTTGTTCTTTTAGTGGTTTTGAATATCCATCTATTTTCTCAATATTTAAAAGAAAATATTCCAGTGTTCTTATTTGTTTATTCATTTACACTTTGCAACACATTATTTGGGCAGAAGTTAAGAAAATCTCACTTTGCTTGTTACATTACTGGGAATGGAGACCCTCATAACACTTTTGAAAATGTCACAGGTACCCCTGCAATCTTTAGACTTCACCTTGAGAACCAGTATTTCAAGTAGTCATTTTGTGAAATTTTATTTACTGTTGTCAAATTATATAGTTAACTTGATGTTAACTTTCAATTATTGTATTTCTGATATATTGCTTTGGTTTTGTGTGTGTATGTTTTAAATTAACTTTTTTCCTTTAGATTGCAACTCAGATTGCAGTTCTCATTGCCAAAGTTGCTCGGTTGGACTGTCCCAGACAGTGGCCTGAATTGATACCCACTCTTATAGAATCTGTGAAAGTCCAAGATGATCTCCGACAGCACAGAGCACTACTTACCTTCTATCACGTTACTAAAACTTTGGCCTCTAAACGCCTGGCTGCTGATAGAAAACTTTTTTATGATGTAAGTGATTTCAGTTAATATGATTGAGAAAGCTGTTCTATAGTATATAAATGTATAACATATAAAATGAATATAAAATGCTTTAACTATCTTACTGAGAGATGATGTGTGCTTTTTAACTCAAAAGTTTTAGAATAATAGATCACATTTGAAAGTGATATGATCAACGAGATTGATTGGCTGCAAGTGAGTTGTTCTTGTTGGTAAGAGTCTAAAGGCAGAGCTACTGTTCTGGAGCTATTAAAGTAGTTAGGATGAGGTGATAAAGCTCATACACGAAGCAGTGGTAAATTGAAAGTGAAAATTGACATGCCTGTTAATTGATAAACTTAGGCAGATATAGGAAGGAATCTGATTAAATGGTGAGGAGGGGGAAGTCCTTTACTGGGTGTTCTAGTGCCTTTTTACTCTTTTGTCTTGTAGAATAGTGCAATGGTTTAGAATGTTTACCTTGCACATATAGAGTCATAGGTTCAAATTTCTCGTTTCTCACATATGCTGAGCTAACTCTGTTATGATCCCTGCTTGCAGATGATAGCCAAGTGTAGATAACACAAAAGGGAATGTGATTCCCGGTATGCCTTGCAGTTGAAAAATACGTGTGTGTGTGTGTGTGTGTGTGTCTGTGTCTGTGTGTCTGTGTGTATGTGTGGACCACAGGACAATTAATGTGTGTGTGGCTTAACTAGTTGAGCACCTAAGTAATAAAGGAGTGCAAACCTCAGTGAGCCCGGTGACCAAGTGTAGGAACTGCACGTGACCCTGGGCAAACACTCAAAAAATAAAAAACGTGTGTGAGCACCATGGTCAGGCATACTTGCAACCCCTGGTCATCAGAACAGCCCGAACAGCAAAATGTAACAGTGATCACTGGGAAGTGAAGGAATTCAAAGAAAAACCTTTTGTGTTTTGTTTTTGTTTTGGGGCCACTCCTGGCAGTGCTGAGGGGTTACTCCTAAATTTGTGCTCAGGTATAACTCCTGGCGGTCTGGGTTGGCTATGGGATGCCGGGAACTGAACCTAGGTCAGTTGTGTGCTAGGCAAGCGCCATACTGGCCATACTTTCTCTTAGACCCCAAACCTTTTCTTTCTTTTTGTTTTTTGGCCACTCCCAGCAGTATTCATGGCTTATTTCTAGTTCTGCTCAGGGACCACTCCTGGTGATGTTGGGGGTCCGTGTGGGGTGCCAGGCATCAAACCTGGGTAGGCCTTGGGCAAGGCAAGCCCTCTTCCCACTGTACTGTTGCTCCAGATCTCAAAGTACGTTTTGCCAGTGTTCTTGCTGACTTTGGATCCTCACTTTGAGAATATAGATTGGAACTGCGCATTTTAAATAAGTTCCCCAGATCATTCCATGTGTATTCAGAGTGTAAACCAGTGCCACATTACTTCATTATTTTTAACCTAGTGTGTTGAAATAGCCAATTTTATGTTTATCTGGGGAATGTTGAGTGTAAGAGAAAATTGTTTTGTTGAAGGTTCTTATTCTCCCACCTCCTAGCCAGCCCCTCTGTGCCACCACCAGTGTCGCTTATGGGCCTGGGGGGCAGCTTCCTGTATTAACTCATCCTAGCAGTGTAGGTCTTTGACAGTGCTGTGCTGTGTAGACCCAATGGTTCTGGGGATCAGAGTGTTACATTCAGTGGTGCTGGGAGGTGGCAAGCATGCAGAGCTGGGATTGGCTTTTTTTTTTTAACCCCAGCTGGCAGGGCTCAGGGGACTCTGCTCTGGGAGTCACACAAGAAGATCATATGCTCAGGAGTTCATGCAGTGCTAGGGATTGAACCCCAGCTGCTAGCAATCAAAGTATGTACTCCTCAGCCCTTTGGGCCATATCTGTGCCTTAAATTTGGTTTTGCCCCGTTTTAGCTTTTTCTGTAGTCCCAGGATGCACTTTAAATCCTTGTTACTTTTTGGGCTGGAGGAATAGTATAGGGCTTAAGGTTTTTGCCTTGCGTGCCAATCCTAGTTTGGTCCCTGTATTGCATGGTATCCTGAGCGCTGCTAGGAGTGATCGATCCCTGTGCACAGAGCCAGGTGGTAGAACCCTGAGCATCCTTGACACTTGCATATAATCTGACTAGAACTAAAGGAATGGATAGTCTTCTCAGCTCTGTGAATTTCTTGGTGATATTTTTTCCCCCTCAACTTTTTTCGTTTTTTATTTTTTTCACTTTTTCCCTTTTTGTGTCACATCCAGCTATGTTCAGGGGTACTCCTGGCTCTGGACTCAGGAATTATTCCTAGCAGTGCTTGGAGGACTATATGGGATGCCAGGGATTGAATCCAGGTTGGCCGCTTACAAGGCAAATGCCCACCCACGGTACTTCTTCGGCCCTCTCCCTCAGCTTTTATCTCTACCTCAGACCCTTTGACTTCCCTTTAAAAACTTTTGTTGTAGATTAGGTAACATGGTTATAATACTGTCAGTGATTATGACTTTGGTGTACAAAGTTACTAGAACTTCACCATCACCAAAGTGCCAAAGACCCTCCATCACTGCACACCCATTTCAGTCTTGTCATGCAGTTCTGCTGTGTCATACTCTCTCCTTTGTTTTGTTTCTCCATATCATAGGTAAGTGAGGTCATCTGTTGTTTATCCTCCTCCTCACTCTCTGAGCATGACACGCTTTAGCTATATCCAAGTTGAAGTAAATAGCATGATTTTGTCTTTTCTTATAGTTGCATAGTATTTTATCTTATATTTATACTGTAACTTCTTTATTCATTCATCTGCTATTGGATATTTGGGATTTTCCATATTGTGGCCATTGAAGTAAGTGCTGCAGTCAACATAGGTGCACATAAACCTTTTTAAATTAACATGTTTGTATTTTGGGGGTGACCCAGAGTTTTGCCCTCCCTTATTGCTGGGGATTGAATCGGGGACTTCACCCATGCAAGACACGTGCTCTAGCAGTGAGCCTTCAGTTGCTTTCTTCATATTGGAAACTTTTCAAACTCAAATGTCTGGAAGATTTGGGTTATAGTCCCCTTTTTTTTTAACCACACCTGGCTGTGCTCAGAGCTTACTAGACTCTGCACCCAGGAATCATTCCTGGCGGTGCTTGGGGGATATTGGGTGCCAGAGGTTGAAACCATTTGGATGTGTAGAAGGCAAATGCCCTACCTGCTGTGCTGTTGCTCCAGCCACAGTTAGTCTTCAATAAAGAGTACCCATCTTAATTCTTTTGTTTCTCAAGCGGTGTTCTACTGATGTGTTCACTTGCTTTTCAGATACAGCTTTTATTTATTCCAGGCATTGTCTAGAAATTGTATATAATCAGATCTTATTTTTTATTGCTTGAGTGCTAGCTTCTTAACCACTTAAACATTCTTGCTTGATTTTCTCATAGTGTGAAGCTGTTTCTTCATATAGAGTAAATTACAGTTCTTGGCCAGAGAGATAGCTCACAGGTCCTCTCAGCATGCAGGTGGTTCAGGTTCAACCCTTAGCACTGCTTGGGGTGACCTGCCCTACCTCCACTTTCCCTTTCAAAGTATGCCGTAGCTCTTTCCTCTCCACCCCAAAGAGACCCGAGTCATCGCCCACGAACGGCCTCTCTGGCTTCTGATCCAGCTGGTTAACGGCCATGACCCCAGAGACTCAGAAACAAATCTCGAAACCCAGCGGCTTTTGGCAGAAATGTGTCCGGACCCCGCAGTGGGTTACTGTCGCCGGGCCACCCCAGGGGGGAAAGGGTGCTGTCCCTCCGCCTGCTCCCCCTAGGCGGCTCGGTGGCCACCATCCACCAGAGGCCATTGGAAAGTCAGGTTTGGGCCCGCAGTGAGGAGACACGCGGGGCCTCACAGGATGGCAGTGGAGCCGGCCATTTCCTCCCCACCCCAACAAGACCCCGAGTTGCCGCCCACTAATAGCCTTTCTGGCTCCTGATCAAGCTGCTTAACGGCCATGATCCCAGAGACTCAGGAACAAATCTCGGAACCCATCAGGTTTTGGCAGAAATCCCTCCAGATTTATTTATTTATTTATTTATTTATTTATTTATTTATTTATTGAATCACCGTGGGAAAGGTTACAAAGCTTTCAGGTTTAGGTCTCAGTCATACAAATATCAAGCACATTTCCCTTTACCAATACTTTTTTTTTACCATGAAGAACCCCAATAAAACCCCACCCCCCACCCCTCCCAGTCCCTGTGGGGCAGATGAATTCTAGTTAACACTCTATCTGCTTTGATTAGATTCATTGTTTCAATAAAAGATTCACCACTATTATTTAGAGTTTACCCCCCCCCCCCCCAAATCAGACATGCTGACAAAGCATTGTGACGTGATTTGCTTTCTACAGCTGGGTTCAAGAATTAAATGTTGGTTTTGGATTTCTGCTATTTTACTTATTGACTCTGGAAGTATTTATACTGAAAGTCAGATAGTTAAGAAATTGGTTTCTGTGCTCTGGAGTCTTGGCCGTGCTGGAGAGCCGCTCATGGGGGGCAACTGGTGGCCTCGATAGGGCGTGAAGGGCGGACCAAAACGCCTCCCTTCCCATGAGGTTTTAGTCGCCCCCACTCCCCCGGCTCATACCTGCTGTCCACAAGGCTTCCATGTGGCCGCCATCTTTCTTTCCAGAGGGAGGAGGGCGGAAGGGACCAACACCCTTTCCCCTCCGGGCAGACATGATGGCCTGGATTAACGCATAGTCCGTTCACTTTTCTGCTCCAAGCTGCTGGGTTCTGCATTAAGTCCTTGTGCTTCTGGGGCTGTGGCCGTGCTGGAGAGCCACTCGTTGGGGGTAACTGGTGACCTCGGTAGGGCGTGAAGGACGGACCAGAACGCCCCCCTTCCCATGAGGTTTTAGTCGCCCCCACACTCCCGGTCATACTTGCTGTCCACAAGGCTCCCATGCGGCCGCCATCTTTCTTTCCAGAGAGGAGAGGGCGAATGGGGCAACACCCTTTCCCCTCCGGACAGACATGATGGCCTGGATTAACGCATAGTCCTTTCACTTTTCTGCTCCAAGCTGCTGGGTTCTGC